ATATTGTAATAGTGACTTAGCATATTCCACTTATATTGTACCCATTACACATATTCAAAACTCTAAATACCAAATTATAAATGTTAAGACAAAAGTGATAAAATACCATCTTGCTATACACTATTCTCGGCACTAAAACTAGAATTTAGCTTTCTGCCAACAGATAGACATTTTGATTAATGTACAAGAATGTAAGTAAGCTCACTTTTTTTTCGATATATTCTTTTTTCTAATAGGTTTCAAAACAAAAGCAAGTAATTAATGTTATCAAATGCTTTTTAAAAAATTTCAAAAGAAACCTAGACATGTAGTAGTTAATAGCTTTCTTTATTATTTGTATAATTTTTTAAACTTAATAGTATAACAGCCAACTGTCAGCATCAGTTAGATCAGCAACTAGAATAGATTTTTTTTAAACTAAAATAGAGAATTTACTAAATTTTTTTAATGTAACTGTATTTTTTCAGCAAAATGGGGTTTGGGTAAAAGATTACTATATCTGCCCAACAACATCTGTAGAGTAGTCCAAGGTCATCTGTACAGTTTTTTCCAAGATCATCTGTATTTTTTTTACTCCAACAACATCTGCCGAATATCATCTGGAAATTCAATGACCCCTAACAACATCTTTACAAAGATGTAACTATATCTGATAATTTTTTCACCATGTCCAATAACATCTGGAAGAATTTCCTCCAGATGCAATTACATCTGAAAAAATCTTATATGCAGGCATGTCTTTACACATATCCAGCATAGGCAGCCACTGCAGGGCCAGGGTTTGGGAGAGGCCATCCAAAAAGAAATTTTTTTTTTTTTAAGTTAATTAAAAAAATTAATAAAAAAATTAATTAATTTTAACAAATTATAAAATTTAAATAATTATTTCTATAACTTGAATCTATTTTTTTAGAATAAAAAAACAAAATACAAAATTATAACCAACTCTTTTGTATACATGTTAAAGAAATAAAATTCGTCTGCTGCATTTCTTTTTAATATTTTTTAAGTTCCTAGTTATCAATAGTGTTTATAGTGTGCATATGATCTATGTGCTTAAACTTCAAGGTAGCCTTGAAATTAGCCACAAAACGCATAAGCGGAACACCATAGTAGAATCTAGCAGACTTCTATTATGGTGTTGTAAAAAATGGAACTAACTGAAAACATTTGTCATAACTGGAAACATATGTCTGAATCAATAAAAATGAAAAAAATATCAAATGTTCAACAAAGTGAACAAAAAGCTTCAGGCCATTCAAACTGATTTAAAAGTGGCGAATAAACTGTATAGCTCGTCTATCTTCTAATTATGGACTTAGCTGCAATTACATTACACACCCAAAAACTTTTATAAATCTACCTAAGCTATGCAAGCATTGATTTTCCAAATAAATGTCTGCATTTCAATTTCTTGTTCACACGTTGATTAAAATAAGTACCGGTGAAACCAGAAAACCAAATCATAATTTACTTTTGGTTGTGAAAAAACTTAAATCTACATTCCATAATGCCAATGTTGTTTTAAGGATGTTTCTCTATGCTGCTTTTGATAATTATACTGGAAAAAGGTCTTTTTCAGGGTCTAGTAGTAGGCAGAAATGCCTGTATGCTCTAGCTGTTCTTTAAAATTGAAAATTAAAAAAAAAAAAAAAATTATCATAGAAGCTGTGACTAATAATTAAAAAAAAAAAAGTTAAAAAATCTAATTATTAATGTAATAATGTAACCTAGATGAAAACAATGAAATATTTATAGATATCTAAGTTTCAATATACCCTACTGTATTGTTTTAAATATATATATAACATACAAAGATCTGATTATCCCTTGCTTATTCTTTAGATTAATTTATTATAATCACATTTACTTGTTAATTTTTGGTCTAACCCAGTAATATTTATTAAGTTAGCTATACAAAGAAATTGTGTTGAAGTACAAATTTATTTTTCTGGGTGACTTGTGGGGGTTGGAGAGGCCACAACCTTACTCTGCTGCGGGCCAGGATGAAAAGGATCTCACTTCTGCTACAGCATGGGGCTCACAGTGGCTGGTGAACTTTAATTCAGATAAAACTCAATTTTATTCGGCCAATCGTTATCGTAATAATTTAGATCTTCCTATATTTATGAATGGTAATGTACTAGATGAGTCATCTACCATTCATCTTCTGGGATTAACTCTTACTTCTGATCTTTCTTTTAAATCGTATATCAAATCCATTGCAAAATTAGCATCTGCTAAGGTTGCATCTCTTTATCGAGCTCGACGCTTTCTTACTCCAGATTCTATTCTCTATCTCTATAAATCTCAAATCCGTCCCTGTATGGAATACTGTTGCCACATCTGGGGCGGATCTTCTAATGATGCCCTTTCTCTTTTAGACAAGGTGCAAAAACGCATTGTAAACATAGTTGGACCTGCTCTGGCAGCCAATCTCCAACCTTTGTCACATCGTCGTGATGTTGCTTCTCTTTCTCTCTTCTACAAATACTATAATAGGCACTGCTCTAAAGAGCTAGCGTCTCTTGTGCCATCTACTAAAATTCATTCTCGTGTCACTCGTCATTCAATTAAGTCTCATCCTTTTTCTGTGACTGTTCCTAAGTGCTTCAAAAACTCTTATTCTTCTAGTTTTTTTCCTCGAACATCAGTTCTTTGGAATTCGCTTCCTTCATCTTGCTTCCCTGATACATATAATTTACAATCATTTAAGTCATCAGTCAATCGTTATCTTGCTCTACAGATTTAGTCTTTTCTCTTCCAGTAACTTCCAACTCTTATAGTGGCTGCTTGCAGCCTTGTTGGAAGTGAAGATGTTAAAAAAAAAAAAAAAAAAAAAAAAACCTAAAGACAGGCCTGCTTATATGTAACTACATCTGGTTAAAATAATGCATTTATAACTAATATTTTTTTCTAGATGTAACTACATCTGAAAAAAACTATATATGTGCATCTGGTTAAAAAAACGCATTATAATTTAATAATTTCATAAAATCCTGTAGCTATTTTTAATATAATTTAAAAGATGTAACTACATCTGTAGAATTTACAGATGTAGTTGCACAGATGTTATGTTACTTTGATAATTGAAAAGAAGTAACTACACCCGACGGGCATTTGTTTTTAAAAGTTACGTTCTAAATGTATTTTAAATGTCTTTTAAACATTTTTTGCGTAAGAATATTTAGAAGACGTTTAAAAAACATTTAAAACAAATTTAGAACGTAACTTTTAAAAACAAATGCTCGTCGGGCATCTGTAGTAATCATATACTTTTAACACAGATGTTATTATACATCAATAAAATTTCAGATGTTGTTGTTATTATTATACCTCAGTCTATTTACAGATTTTTTGGGACAAATATAGTTATATTTACATATATTGGACAGATGTTAATAGACATGCTGTTTGACAGATGTAATTAGATATAGCAAAAACTGATGTTGTTACCTTGACCCGGGCTTCTCACTTTTTAACCATAACTATATATTGATAAAATTTACAAAACTCATAAATTTACAAAAATTAGTTAAGTGTCACTTATCTAGTTACAAACTAGTCAATGTAGTGACATCTTATATATATATATATATATATATATATATATATATATATATATATATATATATATATATATATATATATATATATAATTAAAATAATATATAATTTAATAATACGTATTACATATATATATATATATATATATATATATATCATTTTTTTACGTATTTAAAATACAAGTACTAAAAGCCCAAAAATCTTAGTAGTAAGTTATTATTATTACTAAACAGTAAATTATTTTTCAATATAAAACTTATTTTATTAAGAGCTTGAGGAACATTATTTATTTTTCATTTAAATTTTCACCATCAACATAGCACAAAGTAAAAAAGAATAATCTATAATGGAGAACAATGGTTTAAATAAGTATTTAATTTACATGCACAGTCGAATAGAATTCCATTCGATTGCAGATAAAATAAGTATATATATTAACAAACTTAAGAAATTCTTAAGAAACTTTAATTGCTAGATTGAAAAAACCTCTGAAAAAAAAAACTTTTTAGCATTAGGCCATTTTCTTGGGGTTTTATATATTAAAAAAAACATATAACTTAAAAGAAATCATTATAATAATAGAAATAAATAAATATTGGTGATATAAAAGCTAAACTAATTCAAATAATAATGGTTATTGCAAAAGTAAAAATAATAGTAATTAGTAAAATAATAGTAGTGATAATAGCAATGCAACTTATGACTTTATTATCATAAACAAGCATAAACTTTACCATAAAATGAAAAATCTATAGCAGTAACAAAATAAATAAAATTTTAAAATAAAAAAAATTTCTGGCGTAAAACACTTTGCACAAAACAAAACACTCATATATTGAATAATTACTCATTAAATACAGTAATTGCTTAGGGAGAAATTCAAAAAGAACACATATGAACGATATTTTTAAAATGAATTCTATTGAACAGTAAATAATCAATAGATAAAACACATTTTTCTTCAGACTTTTATTTATTACAGGAATATACTGGCTCCACTGAGAAATACATTGACATATTATGGAAAACATACCATATTTAGTTATATTGAAAAAATAAGAGTATAACTTACTATTTTCTGTGTTTTCAATGTGTTGTTTATGTATTTCTTTTGTTTAAACAAAAAAATCAAAGAAAAAGTTTTGAAGTTTATTTTGGAATAAATTAAATACAAAAAGTCAATTATAAAAGTAAAGTTAGTACTTTTATCTTATGCTAACCTTTTATTAAAAGCTTTCTGCAGTATATACTCTAGAATATTTCATATATTTTGGTGTAGGAACTTTCTTCCCATTAATCAAAAGTTTTTTACTATCAATCTTTTTTTACAGAGGATAAAAAATAATATATTAAATTTTGTCTGCACATTGAATGTTTAAATAAATTACACATTGCTTGAAAATGCTTTTTCCTTATATTAGCTTTATCATTACCTCCTGCCGCTGCTACCACACAACAAACATATCCTTCAACTTTATTGTTACCAATATAATTTACAATACTCCACTGCTTTTTTGGATCTTAATTAACTAAATCAATATAAGCAGCTGCTTATAGCTTTCTACTATGGCATCTGTAAGCAGATTAAAAGATATATTTACACATTACAATATGATGGCTTATCTTTACTCATAAAGGACTATTTATATGTGTGTTATATATATATATATATATATATATATATATATATATATATATATATATATATATATATATATATATATATATATATATATATATATATATATATATATATATATATATATATATATATATATATATATATATATATGTATATATATAATTATTGTTGTATAATTTGTAGTTAAAATTAAATGTATTAACGATTCAATTAAAACACTAAAAACATACTAGAGTGATATGAATTGATATGCAAATAAACTTCTCTAACCCCATATTTTTATAAACGATTTATGATAGAGAAATTTATCTTAACTTAAGAATCGTATAAAAATATAAACTTTTAATTTAAGGAAAGTACTTGCTGTTAAAGTTTTAAAAATTTCACTAAAAAACGCTAATATTTACTCATTTAACACTCGGTTATTATTAAATTTAAAGTAAACTTTAAACAAAATTATGGGCCTGGTTTTCATGGCCCATAAAAACAAAGCTATTTTTATTAAAATGATTTCGTTTTTTATTATTTAAACTTTGACCAAGCCAAAACCCATTCGGAATGAAAGGGGAAGGGGGAGGGAGAACGGGAAGTTTAGTTTAGATCTAATAAGTAGGGAGGAGGGAGGGAGGCATTTTCTAACAGCTGTTTTATAACACAGGTCTACAAAAAATAACTTTTTTCTTATTTATGACATTTTAAAACTGATTTGTATGTACTTTTAAACGCTTTAAACTTCTAAAAAAGTTTCGATAATGTTAAAATTATCATATTGAAATTAAGATAGCACATTCCAACATTTATTGCAATATCTGTTCGCTTTCTCTATAGAGAAACATATATGATACGATAGATACATATATGTATCTATCTATGTAACGATAGATACATATATGTATCTATCTATCTAACTCGACTTCTTCTGACTTTCACTCTAATTCCTTCTGTTGTTCAACGCATTTAGAGCCATTTTGTTTTTAATGTTTTTATTACTTATCAACAATCTGAACGTTTTTACAAATAAATTATTCACTATATATAGCATTTAAAACTACAACTTGCGACTCTTGTCAACAATTAATGGTCGTTATACAAACGTTATAATAATAAAAATATGCAACGTGTGACGTTTGTCAAGAGTTAGCAAAACTAACTATTAACAAATTATTGACGCACATTAAAATCACAACATCTCTCCCGGCTCAACAAGAGCTCATACATAAGAGAGAACGAGGTGAGATGGGACAAAAAAATTTGATTGTGTGCCGCGCTTTATATTTTTACCAAACACCATACAAACTGGGTTAAAACTATAGTCTAATGAGTTGTCATGGGAAATTATTTAAAAACCCATTACTTAACCATCAAATTAAGTTCACGGCCTGTTTTTTTTTAATGTGACACTGTTTTTCCCATGTCACCCCATGTTGGGGTGAAATGGGACAACGTTTGGAGTAAAATGTTACAAGTTAGAAACAAATAATTTTGAGCATTATTTTATTTTCTATATTCTACTTCTTATATAACATAACAATACACAACATTTATTTGTGTTTAATTAAAATAAGATATTCTAAATGCATTTATAACTTTGTTGAACAAGGTCGCTTGATGTTTAAATAGAGTCAATATTGCGTTGATGTTGTCTCAAGGGGTTTCTTTTTTGCTTTTTCTTATTTTTATCTTCCTTTTTTCTTTTACATTCTAGTAAACTTACAACTAGTTCATTTCTTGTTGGTGTGTCAGTCAATACCAGAGACCAGGAACATTTTCTTTTTGCACTTTTTCTCTTTCTCGCCCTCTCACCCGCTTTTGGAAATGGCCTTATATCTTCTGCTGCCCAATGGTAGGCAGAAGTGCTTATTTGCTGTTTCTTGTCACCAGTAACTTCAGATACAATAAATAGTGGTGTATGGATTGTTTGTGTTTGGAAATCAGATAATTTACTTAAATTGTAAGCCTTAGTTGCAGGGTCTGTCTGATCGTATACATTAGCTATACTGACAGAAATCGTTTTTTGTACTGGTTGAGAAATACTGCTGGACAAACTGGCTGATAAGGTAGAGATATTTGCTGGAATTGGCTGATCAGATACATAATAACATAAAAAGTCTACATGACTGAAAACATATGGATCGTAAAATATGGAAAATGCCAGCTGCCTTAAAACCATTTTAAACATTTTGGGAAGTAAAGGTTCTTGCATAAGCTATTCCTAAATTTTCAGAAATTTCATATATCATCATAGGAGTATTTGGATGTGCCTTTAACCATGAATCACATGCTGAACTGTAAAAATTTTTTAATGGCCCAAATACTGATCTGTCTAGTGGTTGGAGTTTGTGGCTGCAATGGGGTGGCAATGTCAAGAGTACAACATTACTTTCCTTAGCTTTATCCATCAATTCAATCAATATATAACGTCCATTATTAAAAGTAATGGATGATGCTGGCTAGGATGTTCATACTGCACAAAAGGATCAAACCATTTCAAAAATATTTCTGTATTTATTTATTGTTTTATTGTTTATGCCTTTAGTTTCATTGCTGAAAGCAATGGACAATGTTGTCAAATTTTGTTTAAGAACTGGAAAGGTTTCTCACAATTTATCTCATTACCTGCTAGTTTTTAAAACAATGTTTCTAGCAACAGATTTATAAAAATGAAACTCTAAAAATGCACGCAATTCTTGAACACTATGAACAATGCCTTTTTGAATTAAAATCAAATTACGGACTAGGACTTGTATCTGAAAAAGCCGGAGAGTCAATCCATAGAGAATGTGTCGTATGGGAAGCGGTTGATGAAAGCTGTTGATGAAAGAATTTAGTTTGAGACGTTTATAACACTTTTATTTTCTACTTATTTTTATTTTATTTGTTTAAATCCCGTTTTTTTAAACATTATCTATTAAAATATTAATTAAAACAGTTTATAACTTCTTATGATTCTAATTCACTTAGCAATTGCTCCAATTGGATTTAAAGTATGCAAAGGCGTGGTTTTATTGCGTATTCTAGATTTATAATAACTTTTAAAAATATTTCAGATAGCTGAAGTAATTTATAACTAATAACATCTTTACAACTCACAGTTTTTTCTATTACCATATGCCAGATGAAAAAACATGTTTTGAAATAATGACTAAATTAAAAGTTAGTTAAAAATCATCAATGTTGTAAATGCAATCAGCAGAAAACTTATAGCGCTTCTGTACACTGTTAAGGTTTTTGAAGAAAGTATCTACATTGGTACAATTGAAACTTGTTGTTCTACTAAGGCTGATAGCTTCTGGCATACAAATAGATAATTTTGTACGATTTAAGAATAAATAAAACCATTCAATTCCAGCTGTTTCACTTTTTTTCCAGTTTTCTGGTATTTTAATGCCATTTTTAATTGCATATTGATATGCAAGTTGCTTTGTTTCTCTAACATAAAGTCTATAATGCATATCAGATGCTTGACGAAGATAAGTTGAAAGTTCATCTTCTTGCGCCTTATTAAAAATATATTTATGTTGTTCATCAAAGTATAAGTCATTGTAAGAAGTTTCTTTATTAATCTTTATTTTCCGCTGTAAACTTGATTTCGAAATTTTATATTCCAGTGCAGCTGCTCGTAGTGATAAACTGCCAGATTCAACAGCCATCACAGCAGCTTTTATTGTATGAGCATCAGGCTTTAACCAGTTTGTCACTCGTTTGTACTTTGTACTGAAAAATATTACATATATTGCTCACTCTATTGTTCAAAAATAATGCTTTTTTAAAATTGCATTAACCAAAATCCATACTATTATTAATAATATTAATGAAAATAATTTAGTACCACAACCTTAAAAACTTATAATAAGATTAAGTTTAAAAAGGGTTATAGTAAAGACCTTTTTTTAAACTGAATTTTAAATACAGTGCTAAAAAATATTCTTTACAAAACAATACTTACTATGAAAGATGTCTTTAACAAACGGGATAAAGTTTTAAAGAAATCCTATTATAAAATAACTTTTTTTTTCTATGATAAAAAACATATTAAAATAAAGTAAACATGGAAATCTTGTCATAAACATAAACATAATTTTCTGCTAACTTGTTTTTTTTTAAAAAATTAAAATATAACAAAATAAACAACTGATAAAATTGAACTAATAAAATTGTCCTATTTCACCCCAAGTCTCCTGTCCCAAGTCACAACATCACTAGTAGGTGTGAGAAAACCTTTATTTTATATAGCTCTCCTAACCATATACTAATTATATTTCTTCAGTAATTAAATAAGACAACAATGATTAATTAAAAACCATAAACATAAAAGTATATGGAAACATCACATAAATATTTAATGATGTCTTCAAAACCCAGGAAACTTTTTAGATTTTAACAAATTCGAAAATAATTTGAATTTTTAAATACTTTTGAAACTCAAAAAACACAATAATATGAAGTACTTATTGTAATCTTATCACATATATAAAAAAAAACTGCTTTAATAATTTTTTTGCTGAGACATTGCCATGTTCCATCTCACCCCATGTCCCATCTCACCCTGTTCTCCCCTAATCTTGATACTTCCGGTTAGGAAGTACTCTTCTCCCATTGCGAGTGAACCGAACAGGCTGTAATTCTGTCTAACAACTTGTTGAGTAGTTTTGATCAGCGCGATGCATACTATTGTCATCTTCGTCGTCGTCCAGGGAATTTATTTGAGAACTTGGATCTTAGATTGCGACGTGTTTTAAGTTCGTTTCGGGAGGTTTAACCAGTGTCAGATTGTAATCGTCATCAGTTGTTATATCTCCTTCATTTTTGTCTATAAGACAATGCTGCAGATGTGAAAAATGTCATGGCAACGTATGTCCGTTGACTTCAACTTCAGCTGTTAAACTATTATGCAGAGCTACTATGCTTCCTTTTAACGATCGCTGTATACACGGCATCATATGCTTGGGCTTCACCCACACTTTATTGCCAACTTTCCATCCTTGAGACTTATTCAAAGACTTTTGTGTTGATTCGACTTTGTCGATTCCAGGAATTCGGACGCGTTTGTATTGTTGGCAAAAGATTTCAAAAGGTGTGCCGTGTTTTGATGGTACGTTGTTGATTAAGAACACAGACATGTATTCCACATTTTGCTCTCGCATTTGTTCTTTTTACTGTCCGATGAACTCTTTCAATAATTCCATTTCCTGATGGTTTTTCAACAGCTCGATAAATAATTCTTGTTTCCCGCTTCGACGTAATAGCTTGCATAGTCTGAGATCTAAACGAATTATCTAGGCGATGACCATATTTTTTCTAACGATTGAACAATCATTGTTGCACTTTCGTCGCTTAATGGTGTCCACTACGTGTATCTGCTTGAGCCACAATTAATACAGGTAAGATACAGCAACGAATCAACGTGAGTAACATTGCAGGCTACTTTTTCCCACACTTTGCTGACAGCAAGATTTCCTTTATCCCACAAAATAACATTAGGATCAATTGAATTGCATTCATCACATTCAGCGACAACTTGTTTCACTGTGTCTCTGTTAACGTGGATACCAGCACGTGGATACCAGCACTTCCTGCATCATTTCATTTATGCACTTATTCGTAATAGACTCATTCCAACCTGCTTTGTTTTTTACATCTCTTTATAAAGATGTATACGAGTCTCAACCATCCAGCGACTGGTAGATTAGCAACCAGATGGCCACATAATGAGAATATCTCCCTCTTGGTGAGCACATTTATAATAATAGAAATCTCGAGTCCTCTCTTCCAAAACATTTTCTTTGTAGATGGAATTACATTATCAAGGTATCCTTTTGTTGATTTTGTGCAGAACTTTGTTGGAGAACATATCGTAGTATTGAGCTCATCATCACAGGTGCTAGGTTCAAACCAAAACCCAAACGTGTAAGCGCATATCGTTGATCCTTGTAAATTACAGTTTGGTAAGGCCAATGTCGTTTACGCAAATGAATTTGTAGGTATGCATCCACCAAGCATCCGTTTGTTGGATGGTGTATTTTAGCAACAACTTCTTCACATCGAATTATTCCACCCATTGTTGAAACATTTGCTACACAAGCTGCTTTATAGTCAGATGGTAGTAACTTCTTGGTGATGATTGATTTCGAGCAATCAGTATCCACAAGCGCTTCTTTCGTTTATTACCAAGTCGATAGTAGGTAGTATTGTTTCGGGACAAGTTCTTGTAGAAATACCTAATGCAAACTCGTCCCATTTAAGTTTCCTTGGTTTTGTTGACGTTTGTAGCAGTCCTTCGTGGTATGTTTATGCGAGCATATTTTTCATAAGGAGATACACTCACGTGCAAAGTGATTCAATGATTTGCAGTTGAAACATCGCATTTCTTTCTTTCTCCGTATATCATTTGAAATTACAGTTCCAGTTGTTCGGTAACTTGCATTTACTTTTTCATTTAAGGATAAACATGCCGCATCTAATCTACTTTGTACAATCACGGATGCCGTCTTGACACAATCGTCAAAGCTCAACGCATCTTCTACCCAAAGAATGGCATACAATCATTAATTCCAATGATGAATTGATCACGAAGTCGGCCGTCTCTCTCTGAAGACATGAACTTGCATTCTTGAGCTGCTCGGATCACTCGATGCGCAAACGTTTGTATCGATTCTTCATTGCCACGATAAGTTTTCCCAAATTCATACCGTGGGATTAACAATGATTTTCTAATTTCCAACGTTTCCAGTTTCGTCACCAACTCTTCGTACAAAACGTCCTCTGGAAGTTCAGGTGCTGTTAATTCCTCCATGGTCTTGTAAATCTTTGACGGCAGAGCAGCAAGCAAGTACGCTACGTGTAGATCTGAAGTAATAGTGATCATCACGAAAAATGTCATCTGCCAAATAAATCGCTTTGGCTATCCATCTTCATATTGCGGAGATAATAGACACGCCCGGTTAGCTTGTTGTTCAACGTATTTAGAAGCCTTTTTTTTTTTTAATGTTTTTATTACTTATTAACAATCTGAACGTTTTTACAAATAAATTGTTCTCTATATATAGCATTTAAAACTACAACTTGTGACTCTTTTCAACAATTAATGGTTGTTATGCAAAACGTTATAATAATAAAAAAAGAGGATAATCCACAATACCTCTTTTTAAACGCTGAATTCAAATAAGGTCC